GCTGTCCGGAAGCGGCACCCCCTCCCCTCGCGACGTGCTGCCGCGGCGGGGCGAGGCGGGGCTTCGCGTTTCGTCCCGCGGCTGCGCATGCGCTGGCGGCGCAGTGGGTTCTGGGAGGGGTAGTTCTGCACGCTGCAGGGGAGGGGGTGGGTTCATAGCTGCAAGGGTCATCTGCAGCACCCTGCGCCAAGCAGGACCAGCCCCAGTGCCAGCTACATCAGCCCAGTCAGGGCTTTGTCGAGCCGGGTCTTAAACCCCTCCAGGGATGGAGACTCTTAACACCTCCCTGGGGAGCCTGTTGCAGTGCTTCCTAGAGCCTGCCGGGCTCGGGGCCTCGGGGGCTGTGCTCCACCCCGGCCCCCTGGACTTGTGTGTGCAGCAGAGCCGGGACTCAGGGGACCGGGCTGATGCTGGAGCTGAGTAACCGGGCGAGTCCCGCCGTGCTCCCAAGGAGGGGATCTGTGCACCGTCCCCTGGGGTCCGTAAGGACTGGGCAGGGCTTTTCCACCGCAGCCAGACATGGAGAACAACACAAACACCTGTCAAAGACATTCTGCAGCCGCCTTTGTTTTGCAGCCCGCTCATTCCAATCGCAGCTGCTTCCCCGAGTCCGGGCAACTGAGGCCACAGGTTTCTCTCCAGCTCTCTTGGCACAAGGAGGACAAGTCTCTGGCAGTGACCAGCGCCACGGGAAGGAGCACTGATCTGCAGGCTCTGGGCAGGGCCCTGGGGCTGGCTTAGGAGCTGGGACCTGCAAGTGGCTCAGCTCCTGTGGTCGCCGTTCCTGAGGTGCCCAGTGATATCACACATGCATAACACTGCCAAGTTGGCCTGTCACACATCAAGTTAACACATGACAAGTTAACCACATCTGGAGTGCCGTGCCCACATCTGGAGTCCTATGTCCAGTTTTGGGCCCCCCACTACAGAAAGGATGTGGACAAATTGGAGAGAGTCCAGCAGAGGACAACAAAAATGATTGAGGGCTGGGGGACATGACCTGTGAGGAGAGGCTGAGGGAACTGGGCTGATTTAGCCTGCAGAAGAGGAGACTGACGGGGATTGAATAGCAGCCTTCAGCTCCCTGCAGGGGAGTTGCAAAAATGTAGCTGGGCTGTTCTCAGTGGGGGCAGACATCAGGACAAGGAGCAATGGGCTCACGTTGCAGCAAGGAGGGTTTAGGTTGGATATTAGGAAAAACTCTCTCACTAGGAAGGTGGTGAAGCACTGGAGTAGGTTACCCAGCGAGGTGGTGGAGTCTCCATCCTTGGAGGTTCAATACCCAGGTAGACAAAGCCTTGGCTGGGATGAAGTAGTTGGGGCTGGTCCTGCCTGGAGCAGGGGGTTGGACTAGTTGTGACCTCCTGAGGTCCCTTCCCACCCTCATTGTCTGTGAGTCTATGATTCTGTGATGCTGACATATCAATTCCAGGCCGTGGTGTGCCCAGGGTTGATGATATCATATTTAAACATAATCTGTGTATAATAGGTACTAATAGGGTAGGTAATAGTTACTAACTAAATGCTCAGCAACCAGTGCTACTTAGGTGACGCTAATGCACAGTAGACTAATTCGACTGTATGTTCGCGCATTAGCACGGGCTTTGCCCACTGCACTAATGAGCACTAGAATTAGTCTACTGTGCTCAAAGCGTCTCATGTAGACGTACCCACAGTGTCTCAAAATGCATGTCATAGCTAAATGCAATAGTCATGCACTAATGTGATGTCATAACCTGGTGTCATAATGCACTATTCTGTGATCACAGTATACCAAAAGTGATCTCACAGCAAAATGTGATGGTAACAGGTGAGCGTGCGATGTCATAACAAGCACTAGAAAAAATGGCAACGTCAGCATGTGCTGGTGGCTCTTCCGACAGCTTGAAGCTGGACACAGTGATGGTTGCATCGGAGAAGCACCAGGTTGCGCTGAGTGTGCGTGGTCCAGATCCTAAGGTCTGTTACCATGGGCCCAGCTAGTGTGGCAGGATTTCCCATAGAAAACATGACGATCTGGCTGACAGGGCTATTTATAATTTCCTGCTCTTTCGTACTATCTTTAGCTCCAGTTCTGCACTGAATTCGGCATGTGCTGAATCTGATGTGCTGAGAGTAGCTACTAAAACTAACAGCGCATAAAATTAAGCCTGTGCATCAGCATTGGTGGGATTAGGGACTCTTTTGGAGCATTTTTTTTTATCATGCCCAGGCATGAAATTCTTTTGCAAAGTTTGGGGGAGAGGTTTTGCCTGTGAAAACCCGGAAGTGGAAAAGCTCACAGGGTCTGTCGCTGTGTCTGGATGGTTCCTTTAAGTGTTTGAATAACTGAAAAGGCAGCTTGGATTTGAAACTCCAGCGAGGCCTGTTCCCACGTTGCTAGAAGGGGACTGTTGTCTTCAGGCTTGCCCTTTGTCTTAGTTTTGCCTGCTAATGCCTGCCCAAGTCCTACCCTAATATAGATCATTTGGATGCATTTTAATTGCTTTTCAATTGCAAGCTAATTTCATGGGCTTGGCCCTGCTTCCTGCACTTCCAGGGCTGCTTCCTGCAGAATTAACCAGGTTTCACTGCAGTGTCCCTCAGCAGCCAAGACTGAGGTCGGGTCAGATACTCCACCCTGGCTGCTGAAACTCCTGGTAGACAAGGTTGTCTTGGGTAAATGTGGTATCTTTTATTAGACCAACTAAATAGGTGGAAAAATGTTCTTTGCAAGCTTTGACATACAAACAAACACCCTTCCTCAGGCACAGGGAGAGTCTGCAGTTGTTTTGTGCTCTCCTGGGGTAGAAGCCAGTAAATCTTGATAGGAAGTTGGGCTCTGCCTCACTGGTTGTCCCCAAATGCAGCGCTGCTCTTGCAAAGCTGGGCTCAGCCTGCCAGACCCAGGGTGCTGAGCAGGGGGAGTGGGGGGCTGAGTGGAGGCAAAGTCCCAGCGGCTTTTTAAAGTTCCTTTTTTTCGGACACGATGCCCCGTCCATCTCGTGGGAGCCGGAGATTCCTGTTCGCAGACTCTGCCACCAGGTGGCAACTTTGATCTTCTGTTCAGAACCGGGGGCTTATCCCAGCCCTGCTCAGAGCCGGTCCGGTCCCTGCAGAGTCAGCAAGGGGAAAGGGCCAGACTTTGGGGGACAAAATGGCCTAGACAACACGTGACCTGCTACCCCAAAAGAAGAGGCAAGGTCCTGGCCAAGCACACTTTCCTGTGAAACCCAGTGAAAGTCCCACCAGTGCTTGTGTTTTTGCAAGATCCAGGCCTTCATACTGCCTTCCCCCCTGCTGGCAGTCCCAGCATGGAGGGGATGCCATTGACTCAGAAGAAGGATCCAAACTGAGCCCCCTGGCACAGTTGGAAGAGGACAGGGAGAGTAGGGCTGGGAGAATCAGGCTGTGTCGGAGCAATGCAGGCTGTATGGGAGCCCTGGGCTGGGCTAGCCTGGCTCAGGCCGTACCGTGTCTGGCTGCATCATCGCCTGCCCGGAAGTGAGGGAAGGGGCCAGTGGGGCTGCAGCTACGGAGCAACAGAGAGTGACGTGGGGCTCTTCAGAGCCTGCTGGATGCAGACCAAGCTCAAGCCTGCGGGAGCCCTGCTCTTAGGGGACAAATTTGCTAACAGCAAGGTTACAAATGATGCTCCAGCAGCACCCCCTTCTCCGATACCCCCATTGCCATGAGGTGCAGCTCCCACGTGCAGCCTAAGGGCAATCGCCAGGCAGCAGGGCAGTGTCCCGGCCTTTCCGCCCTGGCCCGCAGCACTCCTTCAGTTCAAGGAAAAGCCCTTACCACCTGTTTTTGCTGTATTCCTGGAGCAGAGCCTGGGCAAAGGCTTGTGTCTCTCATTGCATGGCCTGAAATGCTCCCTGGAAATGCTGCTAGAGTGCAAAGTTTCCGTCAATGCATTGTGATCTGTAAGGGTCCAGGTTGTAGCCGTGTTGGTCTAAGGTTATAGGCAGACAAGGTTCAAAATTCTTGAAGAATTTTTCCAGCTATTTGAGTTGGTCTAATAAAAGATATCAGAGTTACGCAAAGAACCATGTTGTGATCTATAAGGGACATGAGTGCGGGGAGCGGGGACCAGCATGGAAACTGGCAGGTGATGGGGCCCACCTGGAGCGCGGGGTAGAGCAGAAACTAGCCAGGGAGTGAGGTGGATGGAAACGGGGGTGAGGGAGATCTCCCTTGAAGGGCTGCAGCTGGGAGGGCGGTTTCCTTCCCTGTCCCAGCAGTGGGTCCTGGATGATCCCAGCAGGGCAATGGGACCAGCAGACCGTGCAGGGCAGGGTCGCAGGGGAGAGGTCCAGGGGAATATTCCCAGCTGGCTCCAGCGCAGCCCTGGGACCTGGGCCGGAGCGGCAGAGCTGGGGCTGCTGGATGCTGCTCCCCAGAGGAACCGGAGAGACCCACGGAGAAGGAAACAGAAGCCAAAACAAAGCAGAAAGGAAAGAGGCCATATCCCCCCGGCTGGGGGGCCGGGGCGGGAGCGGGGTGGGGTCGCCGGGGGTGTGACGTCTCTTGGACAATGCCTTCGCACAACATGCAGCTTCCCCGAGGGCTCCCAGGGGAGCCCTGGTCCGGAGCAGATCTGAGATCCCATGCTCCTTCTGGCCCCCTTCTTCCCCCCCGCCCCCGGGTACATCCCACGCTCACCCCTGTCCCAGCTCTCCTCCCTCCCCACCCGAACCCGAATGACCTGCCCGGGCTGCATGGCTCCTGGATGGCAAGGGTTGGAACCAGATTGACTTGAGCCCCCTGCCCTTTCCCTGTGTCGTGCAGACCCCGAGCTCTGAACCTTTGCAAACTCCGTCTCCCATATTCAGGCTTCTCAACTTCCTGCCATGGAAACCCATGATCTCGTTCCAAGGAAATCTGCATTTTCTGAAGAAAACCAGCCACCAGCCTCTGTGCCAAGCTCAGGCTGAGAGGGGGAGACTGAAGGAGGAAGTAAATGGAGCGGGACTAAGGCTGGCAGCTGGCTCCTGGCCCTGGGGTGCATGGCCATGGGGTCAATACCGCAAGGTAAGACACAGCACGCATGCATGCCGAGACAGCCCCCTCCCCTGTGCCAACCCAAGGGGCTCGGAGCAGTCGCCGGCGGGTGCCCACGGAGCAGGACTTCCAGCCCTCTGCTCCTTGAGCTGGCAAGCAGTGGCTGTCACCCGGGGCTTTGGCTGCCCTGAAGTGCCCACAATTGAGCGTCCCAGGGTGGAGGACTGTGAAGAGGGGCTGGGGTAAGCTCTTTGCCCTGGAGACCCTCTCCTCTACCTTCCACAGGGCTTGGGCGAGGCTGCGGCGCTCCGGCCCGCTGGCGCGTACGGGTGGGAGCCGCAGACAGGCAGGAGCCAGGCTGGAGCCCCATGCCTCATGGAAAGCCCTGGCCCTGCCTCATGGAAAGCCTGAGTCCGTGCAGTGCGGCCCCTGCGTTCCCACACGCGGGGGGCTCATCCCCGGCCGCCCCCGCTGGCCTGGCCGCGGCTGCCCAGGGTCACTCTCATCAGGCAGAGGAGCGGAGCGCTTGGCCTGAGCATCTCCCCGCTGCGCTTTCCTTGTATTGTACAAGGCGAAGTCATCGAGGAAACCTCGCAGGCCCTTCGCCCGCTGAGTGGCCACTGGGGAAGGCCAGCCCCCTTCCCCCCATTGTCAGCGGCCCGGCCGTATCCAAGTGCCTAAAAATAGCTGGTGGTCAGTGATTGTTCCAACACCTTTGCCGCGGCATTGACGTGGGCCCGTGTGGGCAGCGAGGGGGCCGGAGGGATGTGCCGTGTGGGGGGCAAACGGCTGATTCACGAGCCGGGGCCCCCGCGCCACGCTCATCTCTCTGCCCGGTCCTGCCCTCCGCAGTTCACCTTCCCCCCCAGCTGCCCCTGCTCACCCCTGTCTCCTGGCCTTCACCCTTGCCCTGGCAGGCCACCCGTGCCCCATTGCTGTGGGGTTGATGGGTGCATGCATGAGAAAGGCAGCAAGACCTGGGATGCTACGGGATGGCATCCAGGGTCCCCCATATTTGGGGGTTTTGCATGCACAGACCTTCCCCGGAGCCAGGCAGGGACTCTGCCAGCTTGGGAGACCAGCAGTTAGTGCTAGCCCAGCCCCTATGTCCCTGATCCCAGCTCCCATGGCCTCGGGGGTGCTAATGAGGGTATTGTCCTGCTCTCCTGCATTGCAACCCCCCACTGCGCCATGCACTGACACCAGGCAGGCCCCTCCCTTACCCCCATGGAGGGTCCCGGGGGTCAGGGCCTCAGCTCCAGCACTGGGGAGGCAGGAGTGCAATGCAGCACCCCATCAGCCCTGTGCAGCCCCTTTTGCACAGTCTCTGTCCTTTGGCAGCTAATGGAAGCTGGCGCTTCCTTCTCTTCCCTACAGAGGAAGCGGGGTCTTATCTTCTGACCCCCGGGTTTCCATAACTGCTCCCAGTCCCCAAATGTGGTGCCTGGGGAGAGTCCTTTGGTAGGGGCCAGGGCCTGCCTGAAATGACCTGCCCCCATCCACGTGCCAGCACACCCTGGGAGCCCTGCCATCCCCATGCCGTGTTAGCTGCGAGCTGTACCCATGCCCCGGCCCAGGCCCTGCCCTCACGCGTGGGGTGGGCCACACGCCCTTTCCATAAACTGCCTCCTGCTTCTGTCTGTCTCTCCCAGCTGCATGTGTGTGCACATGCGTGGCAACAAGCGTGCATACGTGCACCTGCGTGTGCATGTCGGCGCGTGTGCATGTGCATGCAAGCTGCAGCCCTTGGCTCCAGTTCACCCGGGAACATTCCTCTTCCTCCGAAACACGGACGCTCCCAGCGAGCTCCCGGGGCCGCGCACCAGCAGGAAGCTCCGGACCCTGCTGGTGAGGGGGGGCCCTACAAGCCAGGCCTGCCTCTTCCCCCCACCCGGCACAGCCGGGCACCGGGACCCTCTCTCCTCTCTGCTGTGGAGGGGCTGCAGGGGCCAGGGCTGCAGCCTGGCAGCAAAGTAGGGGCTGAAGCTGGAGGAGCAGCAATCTCCTGCACCACGGCTCCAGAGAGGCAAGACCCTTCCTGCTCCATCCACGGCCGTGCTCCTTGGCCAGCTTCTTTGCCCCCTGCTAGCGGCAGTGCCAGGATGGGGGGCCGGCTGCTGGATCCCTCTCCAGCTTTCCTTCCCCCCACTGGAGTCCACCCCTGAGCCCAGTGGAGTGGCAGCTGGGTCTATCCCGACAGCCCCGTCTACCCGGCTGCATGGCCGTGCCTGCAGCAAGGCTCCGAGCCGTGGCACGAGGGGCAACATGGGGCGGCCGCCTCGTGCGAGGGTCTCTTTGCCCTGCGCTGGGGTGAGCTGCTGTCCTGGACGTGAGCAGCTCAGGTGACCTTCAGGCCAGGCTGTGGCCCCAAGGGTCCCCGCTGGACGGGCTGGAAGGAGCGCGGCTGTAATCGCCTCCTATCTCCTTGTTTCTCCTAATTTACTGCCTGCTAAATACAAATATTACAACTTCCCTTCGGGCGGGCGGTTTACGCAGGCAGCCCCCGGCCGGGCATTGTCTTATTGTTTGCAGAGGGAAGCTCCGTTCGGAGATTAACCTGCTGTTCACCCCGCGCAGTACGTTTCACACCCTGTCCCTACTGGGACTGGAGAGGAGAGAGAGGAGGAATGGAGGAAGTCAGAGAGAAGCAAACAGCCGGAGAGCACGAGCGCGGCCAGCGCGGAGGAGCAAGGGGCTACGGGTGTTGGGGTGGGCGATAAAGAGCTGTCCGTGCGGGCGCGGGCATACTCCCATGTGTGGATGGAGGCAGACGTCCTCCCACAGCAGCTTTCCCAGCTGGGGGCATGGTCAGCAAGCAGTTCCTGGCTTGCCCCAGTGCTGCACCCCCCAGCTTTCACCCTCGCAGCACCCAGCCCCGGGGAGCTGCCCGAGAGGGGGTTCTTGCTGGGGGCCCTGGCGCTCAGCTCACCCCCCAGGGTCCATGGCACTGGGGCCGAGCGCGATGCTCTGCTCAGGGATGCGCCGGGATGTGTCTGACCAGGAGGGAGGGGGCAGGCGCCGTGCCCCAGAGCCGGGGTGCTTTGTGCACAGCCGGCCAGGGCCGACGCAGGGTCAGGGCCCCCGTTACCACGGGCCGGGGCAGGTCTGGCCTATAGAGGGGCTCAGACATTCCCGCTCTAATGCCCCTGGCAGCGCCTCCCAATTTGCACCCTTCAGCTCAAGGGGGAAAGCCTCCGAATCCCAGACACAGCAGAAAAATGAGGAGTCAGCTTCTCACCCCCTGCCCTGGGGTCTGAGCACTTGCCCAATTGCTCATCCAACCACGAGTAGGAGTCGGAGGCCTGCGGTTATCCCTTCCCTGGCCGGATGGCTCCATCCCTCCCTCCCACCCCTCGCCTCGCGGTTGCACCTGGGCTCCCGCCCCTGCCCTAGCACCCTTGGGGAGTGGCTGCAGGGAGGGCTCCCAGCCTGGCATTGCATCTCTGTAGGATTGCCGACTCCTGTGTGGGGGATGCCCCAGCCCGACCTGCACCCTGGGCTCTGGGACGAGCCCCCCGCCCTGGCTTCCTCGACGCCCCCGGTGCAATGCAACAGGGGAGTTGGCTCCTGGGAAGGAAGAAACGCGCTGTCCGGCCTCTCCGCATTCCTCAGGCTTTGGCCCTTCGCGCTGAAGTCTCAGAGAGCCTGAAGTATTTGGGAGGGGAACGGAGAGGGGAAAAAGCGAGCTATAAAAAGAACATTTAAAAAACACGAGCTAAACAGAAAAATAACAGGAGCCGAGTGCAGCTGCGGTCCTGCTTCCAGTTCCCAGGTGATGTCAGGCCTGGAGCCCCGCCAGCCCCAGTCCCTCGGAGATGGTTGCGGTGGGTTCAGCACTGAGTGTTTTTCCTTCCTGAGACTCGGGGACACCTTCCTGTCTCAGAGAAAGCGGCCAAGAGCTGTTCCAAGGGTGTCCGAGCTCAGGAAGATGGAGCAAGGGAAGGAGGGAGGCAGAGGGACGCATCCCGGGGCCGCGGGGATGGAAGGAACGTGGCGGCGAAGGTCTGCGCACCTACGGAGAGCGTGAGCGGCGGAGACACGTCCGCCGCGACCCTGCCGTACCCTTTCACCCCGTCCCTGCTTCCCGGCGGCTACGTGCAAGCACGGCCTTGCCCAATGCACGGACAGCGGCAACGGGAGCCATATGCTAGCGCCGCTCAGCCTCCGCACCTCCGGCCTGCCCGGGTGCTGCAGGGCTTGCAAAGGAAGCACCCCCCTCGCACATCTAGCTGCGGTTGTTTACCGACACGAGCCCCCCCGTGCCCTCCCATAAACCCGGGGGCAGGGATCCCATGTCCCAGGGCTGTTTGGAGAATCTCACGGCTGTTTACCGGGGTCTGGTACAGATTAGACACGCTGAGAACAAACCGCTCCCCACCCACCCCGGCCCTGCCTGGGACTCAGGCTCACAGCTGTGCCGCGCTGTCAGCTACATAAATCAACCCCTGGGGGAAGGGAGCCGGGAGGGAGGGAGGCAGATGGACAGAGGGGGGACCCCACACCCTGGGGAGCAGCCCTTGCTCCTTCCATTGGGGATGCTGCTGGTTCCCCCTCCCCGCCGTCCCCCAGCCTGGCCCATCGCAGGGCACGGCCACAGCCCTGATAGGAGGCAAACAGCAGGACCACGTGGAGGCATGGGGGGACCCCTCGAATCTGAGGGTGGCGCTCACATGTGCAAGGGGAAAGACCGCCTCTTCCATCCCACCGGTGCCCGGTCTCCCAGGCCCCGTGGGCGCTGTCCTCTCCTGGCCTGGGAAAAGCACTGCTCTGCAGCCCCCAGGAAAGCCCCAGGGGCGTGGGGCTGACTCACCGGCTGATGCATCCTTCTGTCTGCCCAGCCAGCGTGGCCTTGGGGCCGGGCCGGGCCGGGCCGGCCGGTCCTGCAGCCTCTGCTCTATATACGGGAGGCCGGCCCCACAGCTGCGTCCCCTTTGCCTCCTTGCACCTTTCCCAGCCCTGCCAGGGCCATCCCAGGCTAAAGGGAGCCTGTGCAACAGGCTGATGCAGGGCAGCACGTGAGCATGGGCTAAGGCCCCAGGCTGGGCTTGGTCCCCACTGCGTTACCACCACGGAGATGCAGGCAGGGCTCTCAAGACTTCCTCCAAGCAAGGAGTCAGTACAGCTATGCAGGCAGGCATGGCGCAGCCGAGGCGATAGCACGCCCAAGTGCTCTGTTACCAGCAGGTCCCGCTGGCACCTGAGGGAGCTTTGCACCCACGCCATGCCGGGGAAATTGGGGGGGAGAATTTGGCTCCTGGGGATTTCAAGGAAGCATGACATGGGCCTAGAAGAGGTCCCCAGGTCCCCCCCACCTGGAGCCTGGGGTGGCAGGTGATCCTTGTAGCAGCAGCTAAAGCCACGGGACTGTCCAGGCTGGGGCAAACCCCCTCTGTGGATGGTTTCAGGTCCAGCCCGTGGCCTGGGCTGCACTGGGGAGCTGGGAAATGCATTAGAGTGGCCCTGAGCCCCCTCTGCTTCCTTCCAGCCCCCGTGCCCCCTCCCCAGGGCTGGGTGCAAGACGGGTTTTGGGGCCGGAGCAGACCCGCCGGCTGATCCAAAAATAGCTTTATTTTCAAACCTGCTGAAATGATGACTCGTGGTGGCCAGCCCGGCAAGACCCTGCCCTCTCGCCATGCTCCGCGCCACGGCCCGGGGAGAGCTCCCCTGCGCCTCGGAGCCCAGCCACCGGGCCGGCACCCCCCGGAGGCAGGGGGTCCTGGCGTCGCCGGGGTGCTCGCTATCCGCCGGGGATGGTACAGGATCGGGTCCTGCCCTCAAGTCCAAGCTGAGCAGCCCCAGCCCTCTGTGTCCCTACAGTCCAGCAAGCAGCCCCTCATGCCACGTGGCCTCGTCTTCTCCGGGGGTCCGGGGGGGGACTGGCACCTTCCCCCCACTCCGGAGTGCGGAGCATGTGTGTCCTGGGCTTCGGCCCGCCGGGCTGCCGTGTTGGGCCCCGTCTCATCTCCGCGGCACCCGCACGGGCGTCACCCCTCGCACCTTCAGGCAGTTGCCCCCGAGCTCCCGCCGGCTGCCCTGCAGGGAAGAGAGGGGAAGCGAGTGATGGGGGGCGCAGGGCAGGGCAGGAGGCTCAGGGCATGTCCGCAGCGATGGGTGGGAGTCAGTGGAGGCCAGCTGCCCCGGGGCAGAGGGGCAGTACCGGCGGGAGAGGGGATTAAGCAAGGCCCCCCCATCGGCTTGCCGAGAGCCCAGACCCATCTCCCACCCAGGCCCCCCAGCCGTGATTCCTGCTCCCCAGCCTCTCCCCTTTCCCCATCCTGCCCTGTGCCAGCCGGCTCTGCCCTTCCTTCCACCCTCCTCCTCTGCACTTCTCCTTTGAGCTTCCCCCAGCTCAGCCCGTCCAGCCTCGATGAGCTGCCCCAGACCACGGGAGCACAGAGGCCTGTGGCTGGGGTCAGTGCCAGCCCGACCCAGGCACACAGCTGCTTCCACCTGTCGCCCGAGCTGGGGTTGGAGCCCAGGTCTCCAGGGCACGGCCATCGGCCGCAGCACCCGTTCCCCACCGGTGTCACCCCAAAGCTCCAGAGGCCTCACAGGACACTGACCAGCAGAAGCTCACGGGGCCGCGCCGGACACCTGGGTGCCAATCCTGGTGCTGGGGCTGGCCCTTTCCCACCCCTAGACCTTCTCTTTTGGGAGAGCATGGAGGCTTCCTCACTTGGGATGTTCAGAGTCGTCCCCAACAGGAGCGGGTGCCCCGGGGGTGCAGGTGGCGGCTCTGTCTGTGGCTGCACCTGGCTCCTGCCCCCCATGAGCAAACTGCCCAGCAGTGAGGGGCCACTGCTGCCTCCGGACTTGGGGGGCAAGGGGGGCTTGGCTTTCAGTCTCTCATCTTAGACAGCTCCAAACCCCAGAAGGGAGCTGAGAGGGGAGGGATGGGAGAGGAGAGGGGCAGACAGAAGGGTTGAAGCCAGGGGGAACAAGGAAGGTCTCGGGCAGCAGTGTGGGCCTGTGCCTCATCCAGGGGGTGAAGCATGGGCTGCCAGGGGAGTCCCTCCAGGTACAGGGATCGGCTTGTGCACATGCAGGGGCCTGGAGGGGATGGGGTAGATCCTGGGAGATGCTGCCCCTACATCCAGCCCCAGCCCCAGCCCCATGGTGGCCTGTCCTGGAGGACAACGGGGTGAACGCTTGCACCTCTGCATTTCTCCCGTCCTTGTGCAGATGAAACCTGGACGAGGGGCTGCAGCCCTGGTCTCCGCTGGGCATTCGGGCTCCTCTCTCCTGCTCTGTGCTCCCCACCCCAGGCAGAGCTGGTGACCTCCTGGCTGGTGCACGGGGCGGGGGTCAGGGCAGGGGGTTTCAGCCTGGCTTGGGGTGGAAGCACAAACCCCTCCAGCCCCTTCCTCCGGGGGAGCCTCTGCCCAGGCCTGCCCCCCGTGCTGCCCACTCGCTCAGGGCTTGGAGATGAGCCTGGAGCCACGCACTTGGGGGCACAGCCTCAGGGTCTGGGGTCTGGATTCAGGCCCTCAGCCTCAGCTGAGGTCCCCGGCTGGACCTCAGGCCTGTGTCTGGTCTGAACATGCACACAACTCATGCAAACAGCACATGCTACGTGATGCGGGAGCGGGGTGTGTGTGTGTCTGGCTTGAACATCTGGCTGCAGGGGCTGCTGGCTCTTCCGGGTCTGTCTGCTCAGCTCCCCCGCAACCCTCTGTCCACCCCAGGGACCCAGCTGTGCATTTCCAGGCATCCAAGAGACCCCAGAAGTAGAGACAAACCCCAGGACCGAGGTTGAGGTCTGCCTGGATGCCACCCCTGCAGACCTGTTGCCCTCCAGGTTAGACACTGGCTTGCAGAGGAGGGAGGTGGGGGGCACGTCACCAACCCTCTGTCTCTCCCCCACTGTGAAGTTAACTGCGTGTGAAGCAAAACACGCTGGTCCCGAGCCAGCTGTCGGTGACCGCGCCGGCAACCTGAGGGGAAGGCCAGACAGGAGCAGCGAGCAGCTGAGGGGCAGCATGCGGGCATCCCGCTTCTGTGACCAGCCGGACAGACTATGCCCTGGCACCCAGGTGAGTGCAGAGACCCATCCCTTCCTCCCTCAGCTTCTGCGTGGTTATACTGGATCTGCACGGCCGGCCGGCAAGAGGCTGGGGCAGGACTGAGCCGAGAGCTGCTAATGCTCCGGCCGGACCTTGCTCCTATCCCCGGGCTCTTGCTGGGCTCGCATGCAGTGTGGCCCTATCCCTCTGCCCTGCCTCGACCCATCTCAGGGAGCTGAGCGTGCCCCGCTGATGCTCCCCTCGCCCTGCACCGGTCCCCCAGATCCCTGCCTCCGCGGTGCCCTGCAGCGACAGCCCTGCGGTCTCCTTCCCTGGCGGGTGGGGGCGACGACGGGGACTCACCCCTTTCCTCTGGTTGCTGAGGCAGAAGGTGCAGATGCTGCGGGGCTGCTTGCCCTCCAGCTCGCCCTTGGCGCCGTAGATGGCACTGAAGCAGGGCTGCCCGTCCTCGCAGCCCTCGCCCAGCAGCAGCACGTTGGCCAGGTGGGAGATGTAGCTGGAGGCCAGGCGGAGGGTCTCGATCTTGGACAGCTTCCGGTCCACGGGCTCGGTGGGGATGAGGGTGCGCAGGGCCGTGAAGGCCGTGTTGACGCTCTGGGTCCGGTCCCTCTCCCGCGCGTTGGCCGCCTGCCGCTGCTTCACCAGCACCAGCGGCCCCGGCTTGCGGGCCACCTTCCCGTGGGGCTCCAGGCCCTCATAGGCGCCGTAGGACTGGTCGGACGCGTCGCTCTCGCTGCGGTTCTCCTCGTCCTCCGACAGCAGGCTGAGGTCGGGGTACAGCACATGTGCCGCCACGGGTCTCAGCATGGTGAAAGCCATGGCAGGGACCCCCGGCCGGACCCAGGTCCCCGCTCGGCGCGGTCCAGGCTGGAAGCTGTGGGTCTCAGCGCCTCCCCGGCGCGCTGGGGACCCCCCACCTCCAGCCCTGCCCACGCCTGGGCTTCTCGGCAGGTCCTGACGTCTTCCCAGCTGCTCCGAGCACAGCCAGAGAGGGTGGTACCTTCGCTCTGGGGGGACTCGCAGCAGGCTCTGTATATAAGTCCGGGGAGGGGCTGGGAACCGGGAGCTGACTCGCGGCCAGCCAATGGGGCTGCCGTGCTGCCCCGGCCCCCAGAATTTAAAGCTAGCGGCCGCGGGTGCAGGGAGATGGCTCCGACCCCTCTGCCCTGGGGGAAGAGGAGGAGCGGGGCCGCGCGGGCAGCGCAGACACCTTGCAAACATGGCTCCGCAGGGTGGCCGCAGTCCAAACAGGGTGCATGGAGCCAGACCCCTTGCAAGACCCTCTTCCTGGGGGCTTGCTGGGGGTCCATCTGGCCTGGTGCCCTGCAGCGGCCAGCTGTCCGGCTCCATTTAGAGCCCCTCCGTCCCCAGGCCTGGATACCGGGGGCATGACGAAGCAGGAGGCTCCGTGCCACAGTGGGGATGGACTGGGACCGAGGCCCCCCAGCCCAGGCCCTTTGCAGCGAGCCCAGGGGCACGCAGAGCTGAAGCGAGCGGCTCCCCCGCGCCCCACAACCGCTGCGATGGAAAGCCCTGCCCGTCACACGCTCTGCCCCGGAGCGGGGCTGCCGCCTGCCTGGCCCGGAGCGTTTCCGGGAGGAAGGTGTGTGCCGGCAGTGGAAAATTCACATCTTTTCCTGCAAGGAGAGCGAGAGCCTTGAGCCGCAGGAGTTTCTCCAGGGGCGCGAGCCCAGCCCAGCCCGGCGGAGGCCTCCATCTGGGGCTAGGCCCCGCGGCTCTGACCCCCCGACGCATGGGGAGCTTTTGCCCACCACCGGCTTCCTGCGCCGGTGAGTTATAGCCGAGAGATTTTCCCTCCTGCCGGAGAGCCGTGCAGCTCGCGCTCTCTCGCTTTCTCGGCCCCCGGTCCGTGCTCCACTCCCGGTCCCCGCGCCGCGTGCCCCAGAGAGCGTCGGCAGGAGGGGAAGCCAGCCAAGAAAAGCAGCCCGAGGCTTCCTGCTCGTCCTTCCCCCACGGCCCGAGGCCGAGCGTGCGGATCCGGGAGCGCCGCGGGTCAAGCTGTGGAGGCAGCTTAAGCAAACAGGCTGAGAGCAGCGCCTGGTGCAGACCCCCGCCAGCTCCCCGGTTCCCTGCCCACTGCCCCTTCCCTGCACGAGGGCACGGCCTGGGGCTGCCGCGGAGGGGCGGGGGGAGCAGAGGGAATCCCAGAGCCGAGCAGTCTCTGCCCCAAAGAGCCTCCAGCCCCAGCGATGCGGCGGGGAGGAAACGGGATGCAGCTTTGCAGGGAGAGCAGGCCCAGCGCCTTTCCAGAGCACCCCGAGGGTGGCAGGGATGCCCGGCAGCTCCAGGGACCCCTGCAACCTGTCCAGCCTCTGGGGTGGCAGGCCCGCGGTGCGCCCCTCTGTGCCAGCCTGACTCCTCCCTGCAGCCCCCCTCCAAAGCCGCCATCATCCAGGCAGGCGTCCAGGGCGCCCCCCTCCACCCTGCCGTCCCCTAGCAGTGCCCACATCCCCTTGCCCTTCGGTGGCCCCTGCCTGGGCTGGAGCAGCGACCCTGGCTCGAGGGCTGCGTGTGTATCTAGGTGTGAATCCGGGGCTGCTCTTTACCTGTGGATCTAGCAAGGAAAGGCTGTGGGCATGGGGGGGACAGCCCTAGGGTCTGGGGGGAGGCAGGCACCCCCCAGGGCAGGCCGGGCTGGGGAAAGCTAAAAGCAAAAAGCACCGTGGAGACCTCGATGGCTCCTTGCAGGAGCTCCCCAAGCCGTTGCACATCTGCTCTAGCCCTGAACCCATCGTTCGCACAGCCCGGGGGCGGCTGAAGCACAGAGATGACAGAAGGACGGACTCAATGCATGGCCCTGGCCCCGGACGTGATGGACAGACGGAGGGCTGGGAGGACCCTCGGAGATGACGGCTCCACGCGGAGACGTACCGGCCTGTCTCCCAGGCCTTCCTGAGCTCGGAGCACAGCTTTTCTTCCCCCCTCCCCACCCCGGGCAGGGGGCTCTTCCATGCTGGCCCCCCTGCTGGGGTGTGATTTGGCTGGGCTGGGACAGCCCCCAGCCCCTGACAGGCGGCAAGACGGATCGGCAGGGGCTGTGTACTCAGGTGCAGCTGTCAGGCAGCACATGGAGGCCAGCTGACGGCGAAGGAGGGAGCCTCGTAGCGCAGGAAAAACCCTCCCCGCTGGACCGCGCATGGTGTGCAGGGCTGCCCTGGCACCCAGCATACCGGGGACCACAGTGGAGCAAGAGGGGTGCTGGGGGTGTGCAGGGGGAGAAGCATGCATGAGCCGCCCCCCGCCCCCACCCCGGGCTCCAGCACCAGCCAGGAGCAGGGACCCTGCTGCGCTGGAGGACAGCCCCTTCCCCACGCAGCTTACAGAGCCAGGGGGAGAGAAGAGATGCCAGGGGGACGTGAGCAGACCGCGAGTCTGGGACAAGGCAGGTCAGGGCTTCCAGACCCTAGCCTGCCTCTGCCACCAGCCACCTGGGGGTCCCTGGGCAAGTCACCCGTCCCTTGGAGCAGGACTGCCAGGAAGAGCTGTGCTGAGACGGCGCCGGCAGTGCCAGATGCACTGTAGCCGGCACGCGAGCTGGACGCAGAACGGGTCCTGGATGCAGGGGGTCTCCACGGGGGCTGCAAAGCCGGGGGCAGGGATCCCCTCTCCCTGTGCTGGCCTCCCCAGGGCAAGGCCCCGCTCTGTGCCCCTCGGAGGAGTGTTTTTCCGGGCCGTGATACTGCGGCGTAGGTAAACAAACAGGGAGCAGATGGCCCGGAGGGGCCGGGCGGCCATCCCCACCTCGGGGGG